ATTAGACGATATTACAGTATTTATCTTATTTGAAATCATTTAATATTTTTCGAACATTTAAATGCTGCCAAAAACAGTAAGTTTACTTAAACTATTGATTTTAAATAATAAAAGTACACAAAATTTATGTTACCAAGTATTTTTCTAGTACCTCCAAGTCTGTCTATTTTTTCCGAAAACGTGACTACTTCCCATAACCTCTCAATGATCCTAAAATATCGCGATCTTTGCGATCTTTACTACTTGAATAGACGTGCACGTACTTTTTTAAGAGTTTCCCATGTCATATATATTTCTATTTGTAGACCTCGACGCTTTTTGCTCGTTTTCCATCGCGGAAAAAGTTCACATTATTTATTTCGCGAGTTTTTCCGGAGTCAATAGAACAAAAGTTACATCGCTCGCCGGAAAATGTATACGTTCGAATGCGTAATATATATATTTGGGAGGTTGGAAAAATGAAAAAGCGTTCGTTTGTTGATTTATTCATATGTTTGCATGCGAGTTTTTCTATGTATAAATTTGTGAAATATTTAGACGTGTATTTGCATTTATGAAGTTTTGAATTGCTTCTCTTGATGAGAGATATTTTCAGTGATATATCGCATACAAAAGCTTATAGGTTTTTTAATAGCTTACTATTTTTAGCACATTTGTACCATTATTTAATGAGAATAGTTTTTATACTATTTCAATACAGTCAATTATTCTGTTAATGAGGTCCGCATAAGGAACATTTTAATAAATTGTACGTATTATATAAAATTGTCTCTTTTTTTCTTTTTTAAATCCCTTTTATAAAACTTGTTTCTTCTTTTGGGAAATCCCTTTTAAAATTGGTTTTCCTTTGATTTAAATCCAACGTTTTACTCATTTTACTATTATGCTCATATTTGTATTTTTTTAAAATTATTTAGTGTAATGTAAAATTTATCAATAATTAATATTCTAATACTGTTTAACAAATTCAATTTTATTTCATTTTAAGTGTCCGCATAAGGATAAAAGTATATTAGTAAATATTAATCTAAATTGTGTTGAGTTTTGGTATGATTTGAAAAGTTGAAGTTAGTCCTAATTATAATTATAAGATAATCCTAATAAAATTTAAAATTATATTTATTATAATAAATTAGTACTAAGATAATTCCTTTATTTTACTAATATTTATATGATATAGACATAGTAAATTTATACTATTAAACTTAGATTATAATATATGAGTGAAATTAATATTTTTTTGTGAATTTATACTTATTTTTTATAAATAGGAGTAATAGTAAAATTAATTTTGAAAATAGTAAATTCTTTGAATTAGTCAAAAAGCACACGTAGAATATTTGCATTTTTTAAACATTTTTGAATAACTTATAATATTTATTAATTTATTTTTAATCTTTTAGTTTAGTTGTTTTTCAAAAACCTTTTTGTAAATTTTCTACTTTTTAATATCAAACTATAATAATTTGTAGCATAAAACAATTTATACTTGCAAAATTTAAGTACTCTCACATTAATATTTTATTAGCAAATTTTTTAATTAATTCAATGTTGATTATTTTTATAGTTTAATATAATTTCTATATTTGAAAAAAAATTGCACCAGTTGAATAATAGGAGTCGCTAGGAGAAAAATCTGATTTCATGACTCATCAAGTTGACCTTGGATAGAGGTTTCAGAAGCCGACAAATCGTAGGCACGGCATTAGCAAGAACAAGTTGTAACGAATAACACATGATGCTATTTTAGATTTCCATATTTTAATTATTTTAAATTATAGTACACACTGATGATTAGACAAACCTAGTCTCAAAACGTTTGTAAAATTAATATTATTTAATAAATTAGTGCAAAAAAAAGAGTGCTGTTTATATATTTAAATATATTGTATCTGTATATAATATATATATATATATATATATATATATATATATATATATAATATACAAATTTGTATATCCATCGTAATATCCACTTTGTCACACCCAAGTATGTAGATTTCATTTATTTTCGTATCTAATCAAAAAGCGAAATACGTAAGAAAAAATAATTTTGACTTTCTTAACACTCACCCTCGGTATGTAAGGCAGCACATCCTTGAGTGTTGATCTGTAGAAATGAGTTTTTTGTGTGGGATCCTTCATGTTGATTACGTCTAAGAATTGCAAAGCGTGCACGGCAGGATCACTGTGGGATAAAATACACAGGTGGATTATTTGAATTAGAAAGTCGTCAAATAATTTATTTATAGGTGAAATAACGTTTTTCGTAGGCGAGGATTCAAAATTTCTCTCACTTATGACGTAGGTGTAAAAATGATATAGTTGCCCAGTACCATATTTTTTTTTTTCAAAATTCAGTGTACTATGTGCTTGTAAATACATGCCAAATTTACCATGATATTTCAAAATATAATAAATTTTTAGGATATATATCTTTCTCTTGATGGTTCTTTGTGATATTCAAAGTTACCCCCCCCCCCCTTCTTCTCCAAGCATCGCGTGTTGATTTTTAGTTACGAGACAAAATTGTAAAATGTCTGATTTTTTTGAAAATGTTTCGGATTTGTTTAAAAAATCAGGTGATATATAAATAAATGCAATATCTAACTATATTCTCCTCTTCATCACATGATATTTTTTTTTCAACACACAGTTATTGTTCAAGGTTGCTTTTTATTCAAAGACTCACTAATAAAATATAATGACCAATGATAATTAAACGTCATTTCTTCCAAAGATTTCGCTATATTTTCTCTATCAAATAAATTTTGTAACGTCGTTTATTTAAAAAAATCACCGATATTTCGAATATTGTCTCCGAACTCCAAACCGTATTTTTGTCGTATTGTGTATGAAATAGTTACTAAAACAAGTTATTTTGTATGAAATAGTTACTAAATAAATGAGACCACAAAAAACGATAAACGAATGTGGTTTTTCCTTAGAGAGCTCGTCATATTT